TTAGAGTACAGCAGAGTACAGCAGAGTATAGCAGAGTATACCAGAATACAGCAGAGTACTGCAGAGTATAGCAGAGTATAGCAGAGTACAGCAGAGTACAGCAGAGTATAGTGGTGTTTGTGGTGTACTGAAGACTGTCCTGGTTACAGCGGTCGGCTGTAGTGGGGAGTCGTTATAGTTGAGACAAGGGCGCTTGAGCTGAGCCTGGAGCAGACAGCTTGAGCTGAGCCTGGAGCAGACAGCTTGTGCTGAGCCTGGAGCAGACAGTTTAAGCTGAGCCTGGAGCAGACAGCTTGAACTGAGCCTGGAGCAGACAGTTTGAGCTGAGCCTGGAGCAGACAGCTTGAGCTGAGCCTGGAGCAGACAGTTTGAGCTGAGCCTGGAGCAGACAGCATGAGCTGAGCCTGGAGCAGACAGCTTGAACTGAGCCTGGAGCAGACAGTTTGAGCTGAGCCTGGAGCAGACCACTTGAGCTGAGCCTGAAGCAGACAGCTTGAGCTGAGCCTGGAGCAGACAGCTTGAGCTGAGCCTGGAGCAGACAACTTGAGCTGAACCTGGAGCAGACCACTTGAGCTGAGCCTGGAGCAGACAGCTTGAGCTGAGCCTGGAGCAGACAGCTTGAGCTGACCCGGGGGTTGAGAGCTTAAAGGTGGGTATGAGCTTAGACTTCAATGTGGAGTGAGAGCTTGAGTGCTGCAGGAATCTGACTGTCTGCTGTGTTGCCAGGTTGTGTAGTGTGTTGTGAGAGTCTGCTGTGTTGCCAGGTTGTGTAGTGTGTTGTGAGAGTCTGCTGTGTTGCCAGGTTGTGTAGTGTCTTGTGAGAGTCTGCTGTGTTGCCAGGTTGTATAGTGTCTTGTGAGAGTCTGCTGTGTTGCCAGGTTGTGTAGTGTGTTGTGAGAGTCTGCTGTGTTGCCAGGTTGTGTAGTGTGTTGTGAGAGTCTGCTGTGTTGCCAGGTTGTGTAGTGTCTTGTGAGAGTCTGCTGTGTTGCCAGGTTGTATAGTGTCTTGTGAGAGTCTGCTGTGTTGCCAGGTTGTGTAGTGTCTTGTGAGAGTCTGCTGTGTTGCCAGGTTGTGTAGTGTGTTGTGAGAGTCTGCTGTGTTGCCAGGTTGTGTAGTGTGTTGTGAGAGTCTGCTGTGTTGCCAGGTTGTGTAGTGTGTTGTGAGAGTCTGCTGTGTTGCCAGGTTGTGTAGTGTCTTGTGAGAGTCTGCTGTGTTGCCAGGTTGTGTAGTGTCTTGTGAGTCTGCTGTGTTGCCAGGTTGTATAGTGTCTTGTGACAGTGTTGCAGCTGGCATTACCGACAACAGATGGCCTAACCAACAACGGCTGGCATAACCAGCAACAATCACGTGTGTCAGAGCTGGCATAACCAACAAAAGCTGGCATATCCAACACCAGCTGGCATAACCAACGCCAGCTGGCATAACCAACGCCAGCTGGCATAACCAACGCCAGCTGACATAACCAACACCACCTGGCATAACCAACACCAGCTGGCATAGCCAACACCAGCTGGCATAACCAACGCCAGGTGGCATAACCAACACCACCTGGTATAACCAACACCAGCTGGCATAGCCAACACCAGCTGGCATAACCAACACCAGCTGGCATAACCAACACCAGCTGGCATAACCAACGCCAGCTGGCATAACCAACACCAGCTGGCATAACCAACACCAGCTGGTATAACCAACACCAGCTGGCATAGCCAACGCCAGCTGGCATAACCAACACCACCTGGCATAACCAACACCAGCTGGCATAGCCAACGCCAGCTGGCATAACCAACACCACCTGGTATAACCAACACCAGCTGGCATAGCCAACGCCAGCTGGCATAACCAACACCACCTGGTATAACCAACACCAGCTGGCATAGCCAACGCTAGCTGGCATAACCAACACCACCTGGTATAACCAACAAAAGCTAGGGTGCGACGCGGCGGTAACGATTACTCACTCACATATCTATAATAAATAAAGGAATCTGGATGCATTTGTCAAGCAGGAACGATTTTGTTTCTCCAGTCTGCCGCTTCACAATACTGGCGCCACCTTCCTGCCCTCACAGTAATTGTCTGTCTGTCTGTCTGTCTGTCTGTCTGTCTGTCTGTCTGTCTGTCTGTCTGTCTCTCTCTCTCTCTCTCTCTCTCTCTCTCTCTCTCTCTCTCTCTCTCTCTCTCTCTCTCTCTCTCTCTCTCTCTCTCTCTCTCTCTCTCTCTCTCTCTCTCTCTCTCTCTCTCTCTCTCTCTCTCTCTCTCTCTTCTCTCGCCTGATATATGAGGCCGCAGCAACCTCCATATTGTTCGATTTACAACCTGAAATGTTTATACTGAAGTGTGGATTATTGCCGGCCTGTGTGGGTATACTGAAGTGTGGAGTGTCATGTGTGGGTATGCTGAGGTGTGGAGTGTCGTGTGTGGGTATACTGAGGTGTGGAGTGTCATGTGGAATGTTTTGGAACGGAGTGCAGATACTTCCACCCTAAACTTTGTAACTTTTCATTTAGAGACAAAAAACGTAACTATCTTCAGTGCCCGGAATTCCATGTGAGAGTCACATAGCATTATAGACAAGAAGATCAATATCATACTTCTGGAAATTTTTTAGAGGAAGGCAGAAACAGAGTAGAACATATAAGAGAGAGAAACAGTCAGATGGAACCACTGCAGGATTACAGAGGGGAAGGGAGATACCACACAAGACTGGAATACAAGTCATCAACAAAGACAAAGGTACTACACCACACAACACCCACACTACTACCAAGACTGGACGGATCACTACCAAAACAACACACCCTGGACATGGGTGGAGAGAGAGGAGGGGGGGAGAACTACCAAAGCCCACAAGAAGTGACATGCAATATGGGAAATCATTCATATTTGCAAACATACAAGGCCTAAAATCAAAATCAAGAAATAAAGTTAAGTTCATAAATGGCCTCCTGTTTGAGTCAAACTCAATATTTGGTGCATTTACAGAAACCCACACAAAAGACCACATGGATAGTGAAATCTGGATCCCAAATTATAATCTATATAGATGTGACAGAGTAATTAGGTCAAGTGGAGGAGTAGGTCTGTATATTAAAGTGGAACTGGCATGCACAGACCTCCTGAACTCGACCAATGATGTAGTAGAGGTACTTGGAATCAAGGTAGAAAATCTAAATCTAATTATTATTTTAATATACAAACCGCCAGATGCAACAGTTGAGGAATTGAGCTGAGCAGATCCACAAAATAGAGAATATCCTTGATAACCTAAACCCAGCACCAGATATTATCTTCCTTGGAGACTTCAATCTACCCAGTTTAAAATGGAGAATAGTAAACAATAACATTATAGCAGGAAATCAACCTGGAAATAATGAAACACAGGTCAGAGAACTACTGAGATTCTGTGACAAATTCTCGCTCAGTCAGCAGATTACACAACCAACTAGGAACGAAAACACGCTGGACCTGATGTTCACGAACAATGATAATTATAGACATTACTGTCTCAGACACTACGTACTCGGACCACAAGCTCATTGAAGTGCAAACTAACATTAATACCAGTCGTAGGCCTAAGAGAAACAACAAGCGAGAAGGGTTATTCAATAAATTCAATAATAATAATAAAAGGATAGACTGGAAGAAAATAAACAGGGAACTTCCAAACATTCAATGGGAAAATGTTCTAAGTAATAAACATCCTACACAAGGAATAGAAAAACTGACTTCTGGAGCATATGAAGTCTGTCTGGAACATGTTCCTTTGAGGAAAGCCAGAAAGAGGTTCAACGTAGAAAGATAGCACAGACGACACTACAAAAGAACGAAAAAATTAACGGAAATGCTGAAGCAGACATGACTTTCCATTCAAAGAAGGAATAATTTAAACAGGGAGATTGAAGAAATCGAAGAGAGACTGAAGCATTCATATCAGATTGAAGAAAGGCAACTAGAACAGAAAGCAATTCAAGAAATAAAGAAAACCCAAAATATTTCTTCACATATGCTAAATCAAAAGCAAAAACCACTGCCAGTATTGGACCTATTCGTATTAGTGAAGGTTCATGCACGGAGGATGACAAAGAAATTAGTGAAATCCTAAAAAAACAGTATGAGGACATGTTTAGCACTCCGATATACAGCATGAAAGTGGAAGATCCGGACAACTTCTTTTTGCGTGATATCCAAACCCCTGTAAATATAACTGATATCAACACGAGCGTGGCAGATTTTGAAAGAGAAATTGACAATATGCCTATGCACTCGGCCCTGGGCCCAGACTCATGGAATTCAATATTTATAAAGAAATGTAAGGTGCTAATATCACAGGCACTCAGTATAGTGTGGAGGAAGAGCTTGGACACGGGGGAGATACCGGATGCCCTGAAAGCAGCAGACATAGCCCCTCTACACAAGGGAGGGAGCAAAGCATTGACAAAGAATTATAGACCAGTTGCCCTAACGTCCCACATAATAAAAGTATTTGAGAGAGTGATCAGGAGTCAGGTCACTAGTTTCATGGAGACCAAAGACCTCCACAATCCAAGGTAAGGTAACCATATTCAAGGTAACCATAAGTTAAGGTAAGAACTACTTCAAGGTAACCATGAGTTAAGGTAAGAACCACTTCAAGGTAACCATGAGTTAAGGTAAGAACTACTTCAAGGTAACCATAAGTTAAGGTAAGAACCACTTCAAGGTAACCATGAGTTAAGGTAAGAACTACTTCAAGGTAACCATGAGTTAAGGTAAGAACCACTTCAAGGTAACCATAAGTTAAGGTAAGAACTACTTCAAGGTAACCATGAGTTAAGGTAAGAACTACTTCAAGGTAACCATAAGTTAAGGTAAGAACCACTTCAAGGTAACCATGAGTTAAGGTAAGAACCACTTCAAAGTAACCATAAGTTAAGGTAAGAACTACTCCAAGGTAACGATGAGTTAAGGTAGGAACTACTCCAAGGTAACCATAAGTTAAGGTAAGAACCACTTCAAGGTAACCATGATTTAAGGTAAGAACTACTTCAAGGTAACCATGAGTTAAGGTAAGAACTACTTGAAGGTAACCATGAGTTAAGGTAAGAACTACTTCAAGGTAACCATGAGTTAAGGTAAGAACCACTTCAAGGTAACCATAAGTTAAGGTAAGAACCACTTCAAGGTAACCATAAGTTAAGGTAAGAACCACTTCAAGGTAACCATAAGTTAAGGTAAGAACCACTTCAAGGTAACCATAAGTTAAGGTAAGAACTACTTCAAGGTAAACATGAGTTAAGGTAAGAACCACTTCAAGGTAAACAGGAGTTAAGGTAAGAACTACTCCAAGGTAACCATAAGTTAAGGTAAGAACTACTTCAAGGTAAACAGGAGTTAAGGTAAGAACTACTTCAAGGTAAACATGAGTTAAGGTAAGAAGTACTTCAAGGTAAACATGAGTTAAGGTAAGAACTACTTCAAGGTAACCATAAGTTAAGGTAAGAACTACTTCAAGGTAACCATAGGTTAAGGTAAGAACCACTTCAAGGTAACCATAAGTTAAGGTAAGAACCACTTCAAGGTAACCATAGGTTAAGGTAAGAACCACTTCAAGGTAACCATAAGTTAAGGTAAGAACCACTTCAAGGTAAACAGGAGTTATGGTAACTGACCAATTCAACTTAACAACCCATGAAGGTAAATATTGGCCCCTATCACCGTCACTTGACAGGTCCTTGACGTCATTTGACGTCAATCTCTGACGGACCAAAATATAGGGTCGTCAGGTTCCATTTTGGACCCCTGGTATTATACGTTATATTTATGACTGTTTTAAAGTGGGTGACATATCTGAGTGGAGTTTTCATATATATATATATATATATATATATATATATATATATATATATATATATATATATATATATATATAATATGGAAGGGAGTACCACCTCTAGCTGGAAGAAGGGGGACCCATAGCCTCGGAGGAAACCACGCATAACGCATTAGAGGGAATGTTTAGATCCCCTCCAATACAGTTTCTGTGTGCTTTTCTCCTACCACCCCTTCCTTTTTTATTTTTTGCACTTATATATATATATATATATATATATATATATATATATATATATATATATATATATATGTCGTACCTAGTAGCCAGAACTCACTTCTCAGCCTACTATGCAAGGCCCGATTTGCCTAATAAGCCAAGTTTCCTGAATTAATATATTTTTTCTAATTTTTTTCTTATGAAATGATAAAGCTACCCATTTCATTATGTATGAGGTCATTTTTTTTTTATTGGAGTTAAA